CAGTGTGAATGCTCTGTCTTACCGAAACTATTTGGATCCTGCTGTCATGTTAATACTAGGAATCGAGATGCACAGAGCTCTGCCCATCAGGGGGTTTAAGATCAGGGTCAGGGGAGGGGAGAAAAGATCTAAAGGACTTGAGACCTGCACCCCCGCCATCAGCTGCACTCTTAGAGAGAAGCACACTTGGTCTCCCTGCTCAGGAAGACATCCGTGGAAGAAGGTCTACTTGGAGAGTGGAAGGTCTGGACCAGATAGTCCAGCTCAAGGCATGTGGTCAATATAAAAATTTGGAAAAGGAACAGCTTTTCTGCAGAAAAGGCTTCATATGAATCAGCTGGAGCTGTGGTGTGTTTTTGGGGTTTAGTCACCAAACGTGGAGGCACGCCCGCTGACCGAGGCTGTGGGATGTCTGGGTGGGGTGGGCTCTGTTGGAGTTAATGCCGGCTGAAAGCCACAACCCTACTAGTGGCTTGTGGGCGAGTGCTCCAGAACACCACCGCAGAGCTCCTTCTCAGAATGACAGAAATCAGAAGTCCTTCCAGAATCCTCTTTTTAATACCTATTGTACCATTACAGCAGCTCCCCCGGGGGGCTGAGGGCATGAGGGAAAAATGACCGGCGGGAAGAGTCAAGTAAATTGTGTTCAAGGGCATGCCAAGTGAATTATGTCCTCCCTTTTCTTGGGCCACATGCCAAGTTGGGTTCTTTTGTTACAGTAAAGAGAGAACCAGGAGCGTGAATTACTAGAGGATGTAGTCAAGATTGGGGGGCTCCTGGCTAAGTTGGTGGTGTAGCTTTCTGTTTGAGAGTCCCTATTTTTTTCCAAATATATAGCAACGATAAAAATACAAAGAACGATGCACAAAAATACCCATTACTTCCAAGGAATAAAAATAAAGATCAGTGAGCAGAGCTGGGACCTCCTGCATTCTGGGATCAGAAGTAACAGAGGAGGGGCGCCTGGGTGGCTCAGTGGGTTAAAGCCTCTGCCTTTGGCTCAGCTCATGATCCCGGGGTCCTGGGATGGAGCCCCGCATCAGGCTCTCTGCTCAGCAGGGAGCCTGCTTTCTCCTCTCTCTCTCTGCCTGCCTCTCTGCCTACTTGTGATCTCTGTCAAATAAATAAATTAAATATTAAAAAAAAAAAAAGAAGTAACAGAGGAGGCTGATTCTGAAGGGTAATGGAATTAAGATATCTCACGCAATGTGTGGGTCCAGAATCAGGCTTTTTGCTAGAAGTCATGGACTAGAGCTAGGTGGCACACCCTCCATCCCTCACCCCTACCTGCCAGGCAAGGAATCCCAGAACAGCCATCACCCCTGCACGCATCTCCAGGTGCAAACAGAAATGACATCACTTCACAGACACGACCTGTGCCAAGCCATCCTCAGCCCCAGCAACGGGCTCTTTCATAATTCCAATATCACTATGAGACAGGAATCCCGAGCCTCCAGTATCAGAAGGTAGACCAGAAGGCTGAGGAGACAGGGATCAGATCCAAGGCTAAAGCTGTGAGATGGGAAGGAGCCAGGAGAGAGAAGGGGGAGAGAAGAAAACAAACAAGCACAACCTCCTACTCATGATGAGCTCACCCACAAAAATTACAGAGCACTTAAAGGAAATTAGCATGAACGACAGCCAATGAATCTCCCGTATACAGATGTACCCACTCCGGACAGACAGAAAATAACAGAGAACTCCAAAAATGATTTAAAATAAGAATGTTCAAGCAATGGCATATATATATTCTTCCTCCTCTTTCTTTATCGGAAACAATAGCTTCCTCTTCCCTCTCTCATTTTGTGTCAGTATTAAAAAAACCTTTCCCCTGTGTTTTCTCCTCCCTCCTTCTGAATGCTTCTGCACAGGATTTCATTATACGGATGGACCACAGTTGATCTGATCGGTGCATCCCACTTCTAAGGTTTTTGTGCTTGCAAACAATGCTGCAGTAAAGAACCTCGAACAGACATCATTTCACACAGATATATCTGTATGATAATTTGTAGAAGTACAATTGCTGGGCCAAAGGGAATGCATATTCCAAATGTTGATCGGTATTGCCAAATTACCTCCGGAAAGGCTGTGCCCATTTCCATTTCCCAGCAGGAGTTTGTAAGAATGCCTGCCCCTCCCCACTCCTTGTCCAGTACTTTCTGATAATGAATGTATTTTTCATTTGCACTTTTTTTAGTATGAGACTGAGCATATATGCTAACAGCAAAAAGTACTGTTGAATTTCATCTGTTGCCAACTGTGCATTTTTCCATTGGCTTACTAGGTGTTTGGCTTTTTGTTTTGTGTTGTTTAGGTAGTTTAAACAAAAACAAACACATTTACTTATTTGGGATGCCTGGGTGGCTCAGTCAGTTAAGCATCTGCCTTTGGCTCAGGTCATGATCCCTGGGATCGAGTGCCCCATCGGGCTCCTTGCTCGGTGTGGAGCCTGCTTCTCCCTCTACCTGCTGCTCCCTCTGCTCGTGCTCTCTCTCTCTGATAAATAAATAAATAAAATCTTTAAAAACATTTACTTATTTAAATACTCTCTACACCCAAGGTGGGGCTTGAACTCCCAATCCCCAGATCACGAGGTACAAGCGCTACTGACCGAGCCAGCCAGGCACACAAGCCTATTAACAGTTCTTATGGATTCACAGGTGATTTCAAGTAAAAGTACACCCTTGGGGGCACCTGGGTGGCTCAGTGGGTTAAAGCCTCTGCCTTTGGCTCAGGTCATGATCTCAGGGTCCTGGGATCGAGCCCCGAATCAGGCTCTCTGCTCTGCGGGGAGCCTGCTTCCTCCTCTCTCTCTGCCTGCCTCTCTGCCTGCTTGTGATCTCTGTCAAATAAATAAATAAAATCTTAAAAAAAAAAAAAAGTACACCTTTGACTTTAACGTGTGTTGAAGATTTTTTTTCCCCAATTTGTTCTTTGTCATTTGCCTTTGCTTTTGGTGGGTTTCTGCCCAAATAGCATTTAAAATTTTTTTGTATTTTATGTGTGTAGTCTTCTCTTTCTGGTCTTTGTGTTTTTGGTTTATTTTTTAAGATTTTATTTATTTATTTGACAGAGAGAGACATCGAGAGAGGGAAGACCAGCAGGGGGGTGGGAAAGAAAGAAGTAGGCTTCCAGCTAAGCAGGGAGCCTGATGTGGGGCTCAATCCCAGGACCCTGCCCAGGACCCTGGGATCACGACCTGAGCCGAAGGCAGACACTTAACGACTAAGCCAACCAGGGGCCCCCTGGTCTTTGTGCTTTATGTCATATTTAGAAAGGTCTTACACTCTGAGTTTTTGTGTGTGTTTTTTTTAACTGCACATGTTTGGGACGCGTGGGTGGCTCAGTCGGTTAAGCTGTTGCCTTCGGCTCAGGTCATGATCCCAGGGTCCTGGGATGAAGTCCCGCATTGGGCTCTTTGCTCGGCAGGGAGCCTGCTTCTCTGCCTTTGCCTGCCACTCTGCCTGCTTGTGCGCTGTCTCTCATGCTGACAAATAAATAAATAAATAAAATCTTTTTTAAAAATTAAAAAAATAAACTGCATGGGTTTTTTTTCTAGCACTTAAAAATATGAGATAGTTGGGGCGCCTGGGTGGCTCAGTGGGTTAAAGCCTCTGCCTTCGGCTCAGGCCATGATCCCGGGGTCCTGGGATCGAGCCCCACATCAGGCTCTCTGCTCAGTGGGGAGCCTGCTTCCCCCTCTCTCTCTGCCTGCCTCTCTGCCAAATAAATAAATAAAATCTTAAAAAATATATATATGAGATAGTTGATCAGTTTGGAATTTGTCTTGGTGTGAGCTATAAGATAGATTAATCTTTTTATCTTCCTTTATCAATGCAGTTGTCCCATGTGACTTCTTGGATCATCCATCTCTGCACCCTTTAATTTGGAAAGCTACCTTTCTCACAGGGTACAACTCCAACGTATCATTCTCTGGGTTTTCGATTCGATTCCATCGATATTATCTAGCCATGGTCCAATACCGCTCTGTGTTTATTACTATTACTTATTAAGATGTTATAATTGTTATTTTTTTCCAGAATAAGCACAACCACATAATAAGTTAAATACAATTTTTTTTTAATTTTATTTATTTATTTGACAGAGATTACAAGTAGGCAGAGAGGCAGGCAGAGAGAGAGGAGGAAGCAGACTCCCTGCTGAGCAGAGAGCCCCATGCGGGGCTCGATCCCAGGACCCCGAGATCATGACCTGAGCCGAAGGCAGCGGCTTAACCCACTGAGCCACCCAGGTGCCCCTAAGTTAAATACAATTAAGCAATATGAGAATATTAGAATTTTTTTCTAATTTTTTCTAATTTTCTAATTTTTTTTCTAATTTTTCTAATTTTTGTCAGGAATCCTATCAGAGCGGTTATTTTCATCAACTCTCCTCCTTGGCCTCAAGAGCTGATCTCTTCTGAGTTTCACCAACTAGCTCGACAAGACCCCACCCTGCACCCCCCAGGAGCCAGGGCCTTACCTGGTCCGGGGTCGTATAACTTGGGGATGACAGGATAGCGGATGGTCACTGGAAACTTGACCACCGAGGACTCGGACTCCAGACTCACTGGAGGGAGAAATAAGGTCAAGGAGGGCAGCACGGAGTCTAGGTCACTTTCCATACTGCCCCAAGGTAGACGATCTGCAGCAGGGAGTGAAGGCTCCGTAAAGAAATGTCCTGCCTGGAATGAGACCCCACTGAGTTGACAGCATTCTGGCCCCTGACTTGTTGTGTGTCCCTGGGGTAACTGGCTGAGTGCTTTTTTTTTTTTTAATTAAATAATCTCCATGCCCAACATGGGATTTGAACTCACAACCCTGAGAACAAGAGTCGACTGCTGACTCTTGACTGAGGCAGCCAGGTGCCTCCTGCTGAATGCTTCTTAACTCGAATTTCTTCCACTGTGAGAGTCTGGTGGGGTAGAGTAGGTTTCGAATCAGAGGGCCTGGAATAAGTTTGACTTTGCCATTTATTATCTGAGCTACTTGGGTAAATCAGTGCTTGCTTCGGCAGCACAAATACTCAAATTGGAAAGATACAGAGATCACCATGGCCCCTGAGCAGGGATTCCACACAAATTCGAAATGCCTTGGGTAAATCACTTACTCTCCTTCTCCAGCTACAAAACCAGGATACCACCACCCGCCCTGTTTTATCTCACAGGGTCATTTGGTGAAGGGAGATGTTTGGGAATCTATAAGTAGAAAGGGTGCTTTCTTTAGTTCATGGTCATGCATAATCTATCCTGTGTTTCATTTTTCTGCTGGTGTCCTGGGAATGCATCCTGGGTAGCTAGTGAAAAGAGAAAAGAATGACTTTAATTCCCCCACATCCCTCTTTTTCTGTTAATAACCAGGACGAGATATTGATACACAGACTGGGTCCCTCCTCTCTCACAGCTGAAGTCTTCAGCTCTGAGAGCTACGGATAATGGGGAACGGAGCCGGCTGGTTTCCAGGTGCAGAGCACAAAGGATCTGCCCTCACAGGGAAATGCATTTTCTTCAAGTCACACTATAGGGTCAGTGGCAGCATGGGAGTAATGCTGGGGGCAGTAATTGAGAAGTTGGACGTCTACAGTTGGAAACAAGAGTAAGTGAAGAATCCTAAATGCTGGCAGGCTTCCTGGAGGAGGAAGACTGAGAGGGCCCAGTGGTGTTTTCCCACTCCCTAAGCATTTTGCTTAGGACAGGCTCTCACCCACATCCACCCTGCGGTGCTGGTACACCGTGCTGGTATAAGTCACGTGCTGGAGGATGAAATTCAAAAGCTTCCGGTCACTGGTCGAAACGGTCAGCCGCTTCTGGCCTCTGCCCTGCACCACACTGTCTGGGATGTCAGCGAGGGTGTTCAGTGTCCCCAGAGAAGCGGTCAGGGTGACCTAAGGCCGGTGAGGCAGAAAGACGCTAAATGCGAGGGAAGGCACAAGCCCAGGATGGCCAGCAGGGGGCAGAGAGGAGGCGCCCCCTAGCGTCCCTGGGAGCTGGGGTCTGGCGCCAAAGCCGTTTGCTGCTCTGTTCCCAGAGAAGGACAACCAAGTCCTGGGGACTCGTGTGTTCAAAGGCCACTGGTCTCTTAGGTCTTGGCTTACAGGATCCCATTCTTCTAGATTTCTCCTTACTCCTGCTGGCTGCTCCTTTTGATTTCCGACTTCCTCCTCCGCCTCTGTCTAACCTCCCAATGCAGTTTTTCCGGGTTTGGTTTCGTGCCCTTTTTCTCTTCCTATTCAACACCTTCTCACTAGAGGGGGCGGCTTGAAATACCATTCATATGCTAATGACTTAAATGTTTGTCTCCAGCTCTCCTCTCAAGATCCAACTGCCTGGCCGGTTGCTCCGCTAGGAGTGCCACAGGCACCTGAAGTCTTCACAACCGAACCACTGATTTTTCTCTATACACCTGTTTGTCACCCTCTTCCTGGTTCCCCCTGCCTTGTGAATGGTACCTTCATCCATTTAACTGTTGCGGTCCCTAATGGAGGTCATTCCCGCTCTGCATGAGTCCCGTCGCGTCTACCTTCAACGTGTAGCTAGAACTGGTCCCCTCTCTCCATCCTACTGCTACTCCCTAAAGCCCATCTCCTCTCCTGCCTTCTCGTCCTCTGGGCAGCCGGGTATTTTTATGAAAAGTACAGTGGGTTCCCCCACACCTGCTGAAAACACTTCGGTCAGCCAACAGGTGTTTTCTGAGATGCAAATTATAGGTCCTGGGAAAAGAGTAGTGAATAAAATCAACTCCCCACCTTCAAGAGGCTTATATTCTAGTTGGGGAGAATGGCGGTTAAGTATATCATGATGCATACAAAATAATTCAGGTACAGACTCATCACCCACTCCAACCTCTGGTGTGCAGAGTGGGAAAACTAAAACTACATTTCCCAGACTCCTTTTTATATTAGGATTCTGGTTGCACTCTGCCTCCCCCCACCCCATCAGCTCTATGCACAAGGGCTGGATTCGGAGCTACATTAAGCAGGAATGAAAGGCAAGGGCACAGAGCCCCCGTGTTGCTGGCTGGAGCTAAACCTGATGGAGATGACAGGCACCCGAGCCAGGTGTGATTTGTCAGCCTCTGCACTGACCTGGGTTTCTGCAAGTCTTCCTTGGAGCTCTGGCCACTCACACGGCCGGAAAAATCATGCCTTCTGGAGGCATCCCTCCCCCCTCTCCCCACCTTGGACTCATGGTAGATACTGAATCTGGATGAGCACTCTGTCAAAATCCGAGACTGGCCACCACTGGGGACAGGGTGTGGGCAGTGATGCCAAGTGCAAAAGGGGGCTGGGAAGGGGACTTGCCTCATAGACGGGGGCCTCTGGTCCTTCAAACTGGAGACCTGGAGGACACAGGAGAAAACGATAAAAAACACCATTGCAGAGAATGCCAAGGGCTCCCTGATGCTCACTACTTTCCTAATGACTCCCTTACATCCTTCCAGAATCCCTTCCAAGCTCATCTCCCGTGCACAGTGTTTGCTGACCGCTCCCCGCTCCCTGGGGTCCTGCTGGGTGGTGTCCCATGGTCCTTCTCAAATTCCAGTGGATCTAAAGCCTCCGATGTCCATCCTTAGCCCTGGATGGGTACTGTGAATTAATCCCGCCCCTTCCAGATATCTCTGTTATGGAATGGAAGGCAGCAATGGATAAGTAATGAAACATCTTTATATGAGGTTACTAGAATAGTCAAACTGGTAGAGATGAGACAAGACATTCTACAGAACAGGCAGGAGGGGAGGAAGGAAGGCAGAGCTAGATGGGTACAGAGTTTCAATTGGGAAAGATAAAAAATTTCTGGAGATGGATGATGGTCACAGTTGCAGAACACTGAGAAGATACTTAACGCCACAAAACTGTGTGCTTAAAAATGATTAATATAGTAAATTTTATGTTATGCATATTTTACAATAAAAAAGGACTCATCCAAAATGGCGAATTACTTTTTAAATGACTATTCAATTCATTTAAATGACTAAAGCAATTCATCCAAATGTATGTACTTTAGAATCTATCTCTGTGCTCATAATATGACTTAATTCAAGTTCTACTTCGAATAGAGCCTCCCTATGGGGCCTTAGATAACTTACGTCATCTGTAAAATTGGCAAAATAACTTTTACCTCCCAGGAATGTGGTGCTGAACTAGAGAAGTGTGTAGAAACCCCTTGTGGAGGGGAGTTTTAACCAACATTAAATATTCTTTTCAATATGCTCCCCCAGGAGATGGGCACATCTTTGCCTGATCTCATGATGCTGGAGGACACCAAAAAGCCAATCATGTGCTAAGATTCCTTGAGGCACACAGATTTCTGTCCTCTTCTGTGTGATTCCGGATCCCCGGGGATGTCATAGCACCTAAGGGTGATCCCCAGTGGTGGAAACTTTGAAACTAACCACTAAGTGAAATCATGTCAAGCTTCCCGCATTGTGCTGAGTACACAGCAGGTACTCAATAAATGACTGTTCCCTTTCACTCCCCCATTTTGCTTAAGAGTTAAGAAAGTTGTCTGGCTCCTCTCCACATGGAGAGCTACCCACCTGGGATGGGAACTGTATGCAGGGGCATCACCTCTACCCCATGGACCGGGTATCCAAAGGGGAGGTTGGGCTGAGCCAGCAGCGGTGGTGGATGGGGCAACCCTTCTCTGCAGAAAACAGAACCAGAACTGTCAGCAGCTGCTCTCACGCGCCTCCCTGGTTAGTTCTGAAAGTGGTACCTGTACCTGGTGCTCTGTGCTGTCAATGGGAAGAAATTGAAAGTAGACTGCCCCATTCATCCCTCCATTCCTTCCCTCCTTTATTCACCCTTGAATTCCCTCCAGCCTTGAATTCCACAAGAGTCCAGGCCCTTTACAACAAAGCACAAACAAAATTAAAAAACACAACCAGCAGGGGAAGAAGAAGCAAAGTAAAAGACCATCTGGGCGAACCCAGTTGCAGCAGACGAATGCCAGGGTCACAGGTGAACTTCCTGGTAGTCAGGGTGTAAAGCCATGGGCGGTCAATATTCCAGTCTTATCAACAGTACAAAGCAAACAACTTCAGAGGCAAATAAACCTTTTCCGGGCGCTGAACTCAAAAAGAAAATACATCACAAGAAATGTGATTTGTTGCCTCAGTATTTTCAGAGCAAACACGGTGATGATTTTCATATGGTTTTGTGGTTATAACAACCTCAGTCAAGGGCAAGCACATCACGAGCCAGCGAGATCGATTCTTTGGTGGGCTAAGGTAATATGGTTGAAATGCAGCCGTTGGGGATCCAGTGTAGCCAAAGGTATCATTTAGATCCCCTGGAAGAATGATTAGACTACTGTAGTGAATATTTATGGAATACAAAAGAGATGAAATTTTAAAATGGGAAATGATGTAAATAGGCAATTAACAGAAGGAGTGCAAATTGCTAATGCATAAATGAAACAAGCTCAGCTTCAGAATTAACCTGGGAAATGGAACATTAAAGAACTGGGGACAGCTGGGTGGCTCAGTTGGTTAAGCATCTGCCTTTGGCTCAGGTCACAATCCCAGAGTCCTGGGATCGAGTTCTGCCTCAGGCTCCTGGCTCAGTGGGGAGCCTGCTTCTCCCACTGCCTGCCACTCCTCCTGCTTGTATGCTCTCTCTCTCTTGCTCTTTGACAATAAATAAATAAATAAAATTTTAAAATAATAAGAAAAATACAAATACAAATAAATTACAAAATAAAAACAATGAACTGGAGATGCCTGGCTGGCGACTCCTGATTGTAGGTTCAAGCCCTACGATGGGTGTAGAGATTGCTTAAAATAAAATAAAATCTTAAAAAAAAAAAACAAGGAAATTTTTTTTGATTAATGTTTCAAAATGTAATGATAAGGAGTACTGGTTAGGTAGTGGGTATCTAAGATACCCACTCATCATGAGAATGTGAATTAATGTAGACACTCTTGAATGCTATCTGCCTGTATTTATTAAAAGTAGAAATAAGCGCCTCTCATGAATGAGGGATTCAGATCCTAGTTAAGGGGGAAAACACCTGCCTGTGTAAGCAACAACATGCACAAGGAGGTTCATTTCAGTTCATTTGAAATGAACATCTTTATACACATCTAAAGGAAATAAGGAAAGAAT